TGTACCCTAGCTGCACTGATGAGGCCTGGAAGGCCGAAACGGATCCGTCTGCAGATATTGGGATTCCTTCCAGTGGATGCTTAGTTTATTTTGTCATTCTGATCGGATTTTCTCTACTGTTTCGTTTTTTATTTTAATTTTAAATTGTTTTGCATTATATGGCCTTTGATGTTTTATGGGTTTTTCCCATTTGCCTTCCAAGCTTTGCGGATTTTATTTATGAGTATATAATCAATTAATGCCAACATAATATCCAACATATAATAATATATCGCACCTACAACCGTCATTAGTCATTCGGCAGAAAACGTGTTTACGAATTATCGAATATATTTTTCACGACTCCATAACAATAGCAACACAATCTAATTCTTTGGATTAGAATGCCCTGTACGACTGTCTTAGTGTGTCTTAAACTGATATTGAAAATGAAATCAAACCACAATTAGTAAAACGAAACTCTGTTACTCCTCATGTATTTTCTTCCTAAAATTCATAAAAAGGAAACCCAGGCCGCCCCGTCATTTCGGGCACAAATTGTCCAACAGTCGAGATCTCTAAATATATTGACACTCACTTACGCCCTTTGGTCTCTCAACTTCCATCATATTTGAAAGATATCACAGATTTCGTTAATTTCATAGAGGAGCTATAGCATAGGCCCGTTCCCTAATAATTAATTTCGGCTGATGTCTCCTCATATAAAAACATAATGCGTAATGACGGTTTACAGGCATGTAAAGAAGCTCTTAATAAACGAACACATATTACCCCACCAACCGATCACTTAATTAGACTTTTAGAGTTCTCAAATTGAAAAACTTTATATTTAATGATACTCATTATCTTCAAATTAAGGGAACGGCAATGGGTACTCCAGTAGCGCCCTCATATGCCAATATTTTTATGGATAACAGACGGCTATTGGAATCATCTGACACCCGCCCTCTTTGTTGGAAACGATTAATTGATGATGTTTTCTTCATTTGGAAATGATGAAGAAAATTTAAACATTTTTAAGAACCACGTCAACAACTTTCACCCTACCATTAAATTCACATTCGAGCAATCCAAATCCAAAGTCCCATTTCTTGATGTCTTAGTCGAAATGATACAAAAACAACAGATGCTCATCTTTATCTGTTACCAATTCGTGTCACCCTAAACATACTTTTCCAAGCATAGGATATAGTCAAACACTTAGAATTCGTCGTATTTGTAATGAGGGAAATGATGTTAATAAACACTTATTAGGTATCCAGGAAGTGACATCCTCAAATATAATAAAAGGAAACAAATTAACAGGGTCCCTCTTGTTCTCACTTATGATCCAAGACTCGCTAATGTGTCTCACACAATTAGAAAACATGCCGACCCTACACAAATCAGAGGATATGAAAAGACTATTTTCGGAGCCTCCGAATGTGGCTTTTAGAAGAGCAAAACACCTAAAGGATCTGTTAATGCAAAATTACCCCCAAAAAAACCATCAGAAGGGGAAACTGGTTTTATTCAGTGCCCCTCAAAAAAATGCTCTGTCAGACCATTTATAAAGACAACTAAGAAATTTATCAGTAATGTAACCCGACAATCCTTCCCAATCACAACACTCATTCATGACAAAATGGATTGGTTAATTTATTTAATCACATGTCAAAAATGTGGTAAACAATACGTGGGGAAAACCACTACATCCCTTTACACTAGATTCACAAATCATAAATCAGACATTAAACACCATAATATCCCATCAAGTAAAAACTTACAAGTTGGCCGTCATTTTAATCAAGCT